GGGAGGAGAGCACAAATATGTACCAGTTATTTCCTAATATTACACATACATATGAGATAAAAGGAAAGTGAAATATGTTATTTACTGCTGAATACTTTTCTAATTGCAAGATTTCATCATTTCCAAAAACACTGGAAACTTCATTATTCACATTCAATATACTGTTTTTTAGAGATACTTTCCCTTTTCTTTTTGGTTATATTGCTGTTAAGTAGAAAAGGCTGGGCTCTCAAAATTTTTTAAATTGTAAAGCTCCCTCTGAAATTTCAAAATTCAAATTAATTTGTTTTGCTTTATTGTAATTCTTATTTATCAGTAAGGAGAAAGATATGTTTAAATGATTATCCTATTGGTCATGTAAATTTGACATTTGTTAAAAGGTAAAGATTTGATTAAAAGTAAAAATGGTCAACAATTGTGAATTAGAGCTGAGCCAAAAAATCACTAAAATAAAAGGAAAACTACGAATAATGAACTATCACTCATTTGAGGTTTATGGTGACATGGATTTCTTTAATATTTATTATACTAAAACAGTTTAGTCATTATGTTAAATTTATTTATGAAAATTCTCTCTTAACATAAGAATATGTGGAACTGGCTACTGAATAATGGAAAAAATGAAGGAAAAGGAAAGTGTGAGAGTTTTTCATTTATCTAAACCATGGCTATGCTGAAAATATCACCATCAAAAATTTTCTGTTAAGAGTTGTATTTTATTGAACTCAAGAATACAGTAAGCAGAATAAGTTGCTGAAGAATGCTATACCTTGTCATTATAGTTACATGAAAAACTGTCAGAAGTACAACTAAACTAGTAAATACAAATTTTAAAGAGTCAAAGTCAAAATTAGGTATTTAGATCACATAAACTTTCATGAAATAACATTTTAGAATGTCTTAAAATAACAATTCAATTTACAATTTAATGCAGCAGTATAAATCAGATTTGTCCATCTAGAAAATAGACCTTAGTAATTCTATTTGAATTTGTTCCAATATAACAATGTATTTTAAAACTCACCTAGATTAGCATAATAGCTTATTAAGAGTCATGTTTATATAAGTCCTTCAAAATAATTTTTTCTCAATAAGTGTGCATACATATTATATGTTTATTAACTCACACAAGATGATTAGATGTATATGTTTAATAAAAAGTATTAATATAATTTTGGTTTAAGGTTGAGACTATTTATAGTTATAAATCATGATTATCAACTAGTCTCTTGAGAAATATATGTAGGTATTGCTAGGTATTCACAATGCTACACTTTTCTAGATTTCTTAACTAGATCTCATATACTTATAACCTGGCATAAAAACTAATAGGATTTTTGAACTGTTTTGTCATATTTACATCATCCCTGTTTTCAAAAACATTGATAGCAGTAGCATAAGCATAATTTAAAAAATCTCCATTAGAGACATTGCAAACACACATGTAAAGTACTTGAGAAAAAAAAGATAGACATTATAAAATACAACATGATTTAAGAAGGACTGTAATTTTAAAAACTGTGGCTATGGGGAAGTTAAATAATTAGAAATATCAGTGATTCCATGTCCTTCAAAAATAAAATGCTGAGGACAATACATAAGGGTGAAAACATTTTGGATATATGTCAGTCTAACAATAAAACTCAAGACTACAAATTAGATAAAATACAGAAAAGATGTTTGACTCTTTGATAGTTGTTTGCTCCCTTTGGCACATGCCCTGTGCTATTTATCATCAGCATGGTCATTCTCTTCCCACACACTAGAGGGAGGTGTGACATAATTACTCTGAAGGAGGGGTGGGTGCATTGATACATTTGAAACACAGATGTATTTCATCTCAGTAGTTTCCTCTTAGACACTCTTTCCTCCCTTAGTTCATATCATCACACCTAATTAAAGCTAACACTTCCTAAATAATTACACAATACTAAAATAAGCTCATAGATTTGTCATATTTAAAAGTAATGATGAGTAACTGAGTTTATAATCTTTAAGTTAGCATCTGTTTTTCAAGCTTCAGAGCTTCGGCTTCCAGAAGACAAAATATACTAACCCAAACAGATGCAAAGGTGATGTTCACAATGCAGCATGGTTAGGTACCCACACAGCAAAACAAACCAGATTTCTACAAAGGCCTAGCTCCTCTACAAAGCAACACTGCATGCATATCAAACGATTTATCTAGAATATGTAAAGATGACAAGACTGGAAGGCCTTACAGTAAAGAGCTCCTCTTTAAATTTAAAGCTGTCAAAGATAGTCTTTAAGGGGAGTGGTGAATTTTGGATCTAGATCAGACAGCAAATCAGACTGTAAGTTATCTCACTGAATCCTCTGGGAAATAAATCATTCCCTTACCTGAATCTTTCAGCAATTATCTCAGTAACAATCATCAGAACTTTCTTGTAATTGTTCTTGATTTGATTTGCTTTGAATCCTGAATTTTTCATGTTACAATTCATATGTTAGTCATTCACAATTTATAAATGGCAACTTAAATTTAGTATTTATGAATTGCGATCAATACTCTAGCAATCAAAACACTCACCTTTTCTATTTCAATACTTCAATTTTCTTTTTCAGTCATAACTCTTTCCCAGAAAGATTGAATCACAAGCAAAATTCAGTCCTGGTTTGTGGCTGTTTGTGATAATAGTTTGGAAAGAAAAGAATCTCTGGGGTTAGGAACTGAATTGCAGTAGTGATAGAATCAAGAACCTGTGCAAGTGGGTGAAGGGGTTGCTGGTCTTGGTGGTGATGAGGGTACTTATTTCCATCGATCTGCCTTGTCTTTACCATTCAACTTCTATGTCATAGGAGCGTCGACAATGTGGTTTTATCAACGCCTATTTGGCAAGATTCAAATTGCCATACGTGAAACTTTAATAACAAGATCAAGTGAACAAACACCAAAAATCGATGTATAGGGGGTGGGGGGCGGGGTCGAGGTGGGGGACCCTAGGATGCCCGTTTTGACTTGAATCTAAACTGAGAGGTAGATGACTGGAAAGTATAGAATCCTTAGATGTGAATTTTAATAAACTGTAAGCTTGAGAGAGCCTTTCTCCTTAAAGGAGAGGTGATTTCCCTCTGGAAAGAGGCGGCCTATCTTTCATTAGGCTTCTGGTTTTCTTCTGAAACACTTTCATAATCAAGTATCTTTCCTTGCATGAGTGTCTGGGGACAAGTAATTTTTCTCCCAGGATAGAGAAAGTTACATATTGATTGCTGTTGTCCCGAAGTGCTCGCACAAGCGCGGTGGAATCCACACACCATCACTGAGATACACATAACACTCCCAAGAAACACACAAGCGCGCGCATTAACCGCACACAACACCTCAAACGCACACACTCTGCAGCTCATCCAGCCAGACTCAAGCACCGTCGGGAAATTTGCGCCTCCCTTGGCATGGATGTGTATATGGTAAACTGCGGTGAGGAAGAGAGAGGGGGAGACAGAGACAGAGACAGAGAACAGAGAGTGAGTGTGTGTGAATACAGAAAAACCCATCAGGAAGACCGCAGCTACCTTACTCCGCAAGCACGCTGCGATTCCGGTGTCTGTGTATATCAGACAAAATAAATAAATAAATAAAATCGTTGTCAAACTTTAAAAGAAAAGTCTTTCTTTTCCAGAGGAAGGCGGTGGAAGAGCTTCTGCTGGTAGTTAAAGACCAGGGACACCCGGCAGCGAGGCCCTGGCCGCCGCGGTCACAGGAGAGCGCAGGCTTGGCTAGCACGGCCCGGCTCCCATCTAACTGATCTAATCAATGACTCCGAAGCTCTGGGGTTCCTGGCTCCGCCCCCGCCAGTCTCTTCTCTTCCTCCCATTGGACGCAGTGCGGGGAGGAAGGGCTTTGTTCCTCACGCGGATTGGCTGGCAGGGAATCAGTATCAATGTTTAAGCGGCGGCGTGAGGTGAATAGAGTCAGTCAGCTAGAGGCGCTGGGGTGAGAGCAGGGACTGCGAGCCCAGCGGATGCGGCAACCGCGGAGGGCGGCTAGGGAGACGCTCTCCAACTGTTGAATTGAATTTTCAGCTTTCATTTCCACTGATGCTTTGCTTGCGGAGATGGATTTATTTGCTTTGAAATCCGCAAGTCTTTCGCAGGCTGTGAGCTGATCCTGACAGGCACCAGATTGAAAGAGACCACCCGTGACAGAAAAGGAGGAAAAAAAAAAAAAAACCCCTCCACAACGGACTGCACGATTAACTATGCACACCGGTGCTGGACTTTGTGAATAGAGAACATTGAGGGGGAAATCTTGAACTATGGTATGGGGCTAAGCTATGAACATTCACTGGAATCCTGATTTCTCCCCCCAAGACTCTGAAAGATTTTGGGGTCTCTCACGTCTAATCAAGAGGAAAGGGTTTTTAAACTAATAATAATAATAAATAAATACACCTAGCAAAACAGAAGCCTTGTTTTCCAGAGCCTCGGACTCCGGCAGAAAGAGGTAGAGTAAAAGTGCTGCTGGATTCAGCTTCACCTTCCTCCTCCCCTCCCTCCCTTTCTCTCGCTTTTTCTTTATCTCCAAAACATGAATCTGGCTTTTCTTTCTGTTGAGTGAGTCAGAGAAAGCGTTAGGAAGAAGCTGCAACTAATGTCTGTGAAGGGAGGACCAAGAGGCGAGAGTGAATACGATTCGTTCCGCCGCTTCTGACTCATCCAGCAGATCAGAACACCTGCATTTCTGGATGTGTCATTCCCGTATGTCGAGGCGCGACGAGATCCCAAAATATGTATAGACAGACCTGTGCCTAATATCCCCCCCCCCAGAGGTATCTCCCCGGGGTGGGCACCCCTGGCAGGATCGTTTTGGCCGCAGCTCTTCACACCCTGCCCTCCCCGAGTCGCCCAGAGAGACTGAGTACGAGCCAGACTGCAGAATGCATCACGCCAAACCTTGATGTGTTTCTTTCAACCAGCCAGCCCACTCCTTCTACTATTAAATTTTTTAAGAGAAAAAAAAAACGCACTTTATTCGCTTCAAATATTCACCACTTTTATTCCTAGCCAAGGTTTTCCTTTTTAGATGAAGAGGACTGAGAGGCAGGGCCATTGGAAGGAGATGCTGAATAGAAAGAAAAGAGAGGCACTTGACAGCCCAGCCCTGTGAATGCAGAGACTGTTTCCCTTCTAGCGAGAGACAGGGAGTGTGTGTGTGCTAGAACTGGGAGGGTGGCTCCCCCTTCCTTTTTATTCCGCCTCCCCCTCCCCCCTTCAAATCTGCACATCCAACCATGAGTTGCCTGTTGATTTCCTTTCGCCTGGGAAGAAAAGCAAACTGGAATTAAACTGCATGGAGAGAAGTCCTTGCTTGCGGGCAGAGGATGGGATGGTAGCGGCAGCTTCTGGCTTGGTTTAGGGAAATCACAGAGTGTGTATTCTACGAACAGAGGCGGAGATATAGCTGTATATTTTCCACTCCCAATAGACTCACACAGCAAACGCTGATCTGGCTGTGGTTTTCCTGACTTGGGGGAGAGCCTTTTCCGAGGAAGAGAGGGAGGAGCTTGGTGGAGGGAGGAAACTACAAATCGGGACACTAGTTCTTTGCGCTGCATTTCCTCCCCTCCCTTTGGCTGCTCGGAAAGGAGAGAGAGAGGGAAAAAAAAATACGCTTGGCTGGGAGATGCAGTCCGCCGCCGCCGCTGCCTCAGCCGGCAATGCAAGATTAAATCTCTAAATGCAGCAAAGCACTGCCTGAAAACAGACTAGCCCGCGAAGCAAGCAGACATTGCACAGAGCTCCGGGGAAGCTTCAAAATACCTCTGACTCTCTCTTCATTGCTCCTCATCCCCATCAATTTGAGACGAAAAATAAGTAAGGATTTTACTTTCAGATCAGCCTGGAGACACACCTCCCCACTCCCTCCCCCACTAGATGTGAAGAGTGTTCCAGAGACTAAGGGCGGGATTTGCAGCGCCCTAGCGGGAGCTGGGAAAACCTACGGATTCTTGAGCTCATTATCATTCCTCCCGGACGCGATTTCCTTCTCTTCGCCGGCCTCATCGCTCAAGTTTGAGTCGCCCGAAGTCCGGGCAGGAGAGACAAAGCCCGGGGCTCGCCCCCAGCCGCAGGGAGTCGCCGCCTCTTTCGGTGGCCCTGCAGCTTCCCTGCACCGCTGCTTCTCGCCCAGTGCGGATGCTGTAGATCAACAGGTTCGGGGAACTTGAGCGGAATAACGAAAGACCGCGAGTGCCGCAGCCGGGGAGCCCCGGGAAAGAAGGACCCATAGACTTGTGGCTCGCGCCTCGCGCACGCAGCGCAGGGACCCCAAGCTGGCGCGCGCCCACCGACTCGCCTCTCCGGTCCGGCTGCTCCTGCCCCCACCCCACCGGTCTGGGATGTACCTTTCCATCTGTTGTTGTTTCCTCCTATGGGCCCCTGCCCTGACGCTTAAAAACCTCAACTACTCGGTGCCAGAGGAGCAAGGGGCCGGCACGGTGATCGGCAACATCGGCAAAGATGCTCGACTGCAGCCAGGGCTTCCGCCCGCAGAGCGAGGCGGCGGCGGCGGCGGCGGGCGTAGCAAGTCGGGTAGCTACCGGGTGCTGGAGAACTCCGCGCCTCACCTGCTGGACGTGGACGCCGACAGCGGGCTCCTCTATACCAAGCAGCGCATCGACCGCGAGTCTCTGTGCCGCCACAACGCCAAGTGCCAGCTGTCCCTCGAGGTATTCGCCAACGACAAGGAGATCTGCATGATCAAGGTGGAGATCCAGGACATCAACGACAATGCGCCCTCGTTCCCCTCGGACCAGATCGAAATGGACATCTCCGAGAATGCCGCCCCTGGCACCCGCTTCCCCCTCACCAGCGCACATGACCCGGACGCGGGCGAGAACGGGCTCCGCACCTATCTGCTCACGCGCGACGATCACGGCCTCTTCGCGCTGGACGTCAAGTCCCGCGGCGACGGCACCAAATTCCCAGAGCTGGTCATCCAGAAGGCTCTGGACCGCGAGCAGCAGAACCACCACACGTTGGTACTGACTGCCCTGGATGGCGGCGAGCCGCCGCGCTCAGCCACCGTGCAGATTAACGTGAAGGTGATCGACTCTAATGACAACAGCCCAGTCTTCGAGGCTCCATCCTACCTAGTGGAATTGCCTGAGAACGCCCCTCTGGGCACCGTGGTCATTGATCTGAACGCCACAGACGCCGACGAGGGTCCTAACGGTGAGGTGCTCTATTCATTTAGCAGCTATGTGCCAGACCGCGTGCGGGAGCTCTTCTCCATCGACCCCAAGACCGGCCTGATCCGTGTCAAAGGCAACCTGGACTATGAGGAGAACGGGATGCTGGAGATCGATGTGCAGGCCAGAGACTTGGGGCCCAACCCCATTCCTGCCCACTGCAAGGTCACTGTCAAGCTCATCGACCGCAACGACAACGCGCCGTCTATCGGTTTCGTCTCCGTGCGCCAGGGGGCGCTGAGCGAGGCCGCCCCGCCTGGCACCGTCATCGCCCTGGTGCGGGTCACTGACCGCGATTCGGGCAAGAACGGACAGCTGCAGTGCCGAGTCTTGGGCGGAGGAGGGACGGGCGGCGGCGGCGGCCTGAGCGGGTCCGGAGGGTCTGTGCCCTTCAAGCTTGAGGAAAATTACGACAACTTCTACACTGTGGTGACTGACCGCCCGCTGGACCGAGAGACACAGGACGAGTACAACGTGACAATAGTGGCGCGGGATGGAGGCTCGCCTCCACTCAACTCCACCAAGTCTTTCGCGGTCAAGATTCTGGACGAGAATGACAATCCCCCTCGTTTCACTAAAGGACTGTATGTGCTTCAGGTGCACGAGAACAACATTCCAGGAGAGTACCTGGGCTCCGTGCTCGCGCAAGATCCCGACCTGGGCCAAAACGGCACCGTGTCCTACTCCATCCTGCCTTCGCACATTGGCGACGTGTCCATTTACACCTACGTGTCCGTGAACCCCACCAATGGGGCCATATACGCGCTGCGCTCCTTTAACTATGAGCAGACCAAGGCTTTTGAGTTCAAAGTACTTGCCAAGGACTCGGGTGCGCCCGCTCACTTGGAGAGCAACGCTACTGTGAGGGTGACAGTGCTAGACGTGAATGACAACGCGCCGGTGATAGTGCTGCCCACGCTGCAGAACGACACGGCTGAGCTGCAGGTGCCGCGCAACGCTGGCTTAGGCTATCTAGTGAGCACAGTGCGAGCCCTTGACAGCGACTTCGGCGAGAGTGGGCGCCTCACCTACGAAATCGTAGACGGTAACGACGACCACCTGTTTGAAATCGATCCGTCCAGCGGCGAAATCCGCACACTGCACCCTTTCTGGGAGGACGTGACGCCAGTGGTGGAGCTGGTAGTAAAGGTGACTGACCACGGAAAGCCCACCCTGTCCGCAGTGGCCAAACTCATCATCCGCTCGGTGAGCGGTTCCTTGCCTGAGGGAGTTCCCCGGGTGAACGGGGAGCAGCACCACTGGGACATGTCGTTGCCGCTCATCGTGACTCTTAGTACTATCTCCATTATCCTCCTAGCGGCCATGATCACCATCGCGGTCAAGTGCAAGCGTGAGAACAAGGAAATCCGCACTTACAACTGCCGAATCGCCGAATACAGCCACCCGCAGCTGGGTGGAGGCAAGGGCAAGAAGAAGAAGATCAATAAAAATGATATCATGCTGGTGCAGAGCGAAGTGGAGGAGAGGAACGCCATGAACGTCATGAACGTGGTGAGCAGTCCTTCCCTGGCCACTTCCCCCATGTACTTTGACTACCAGACCCGCCTGCCCCTCAGCTCGCCCCGGTCAGAGGTGATGTATCTCAAACCTGCCTCCAACAACCTGACTGTCCCTCAGGGGCACGCGGGCTGCCACACCAGCTTCACTGGACAAGGGACTAATGCGAGCGAGACCCCTGCCACTCGGATGTCCATAATCCAGGTAGGAGACTTTTAGCATAACTGGTACTTGACGATGTTGCTGGGTTTGGACCTGTCCTGAAACCTTGGGAACAGGACAAATCACCACACCAGAGGCAATGAGAGGGGAAAAGTTACTAAATGGAAATGGTTTGCACTTTTGCCACTCTGTGTACAACAGATTCTATACAAAAGTCCTCCCATGTAAATAGTCCAATACCTGCAAGATGTAAATTGTCTTTTGTTGCAGTTTTAAAGTTTATTTTTATAGATTTAAAATGTTTGCACTGTTTAGTATTTATTTTATATTTTATTTTTATTTGTTGGTCTACATTTCTATCCAACACACACACACACAAAAACTCCCTCAGTAGAAAAAAAAAGTTTTAGTTATCTCACTTTAAAAGTTTTTAATTCCATTGAAAAGTCTGATACCAAAAATGAAAAAAATGTATACCTAAGTATTAAGAAGGCAACTCACTGAAGTACATCATAGAAACCAGTCAGAATTCCAGAGTCTGGATCAATTTGAACTTCATCCCTCAACAACTCAATTTTATATTTAAAATGTGTTTTCAAGGACAGGAATTCCATTTATTCTTCATTTGAAACTGCAGCATAATGTATTAGTGTAACTGAACTGTGGAAGTGTGAATTATGCTCCCATTTCTAGCTCTTTCAAAAGTTTGAATAATTGTAGGCTCTGGAGAATGACTGGTAACTATGAACAGTTCATATTTAATTTGTCCTGTGGTTTTCCTTATCTGTTTCTTGGAATCACTGAGCAGAGTACATCAGGGCGGTGGAAAACTTATTTTGTGCCATTGAAACAGTAGACAACATAGTACTAAAGGTATCTGATGTGCCAAAAAGAATTCCAGGCTTCTTTAGATTTGTATACTGTATATTTTCAGTATACATAAGTGTTATATGATCTATAGCAGAGAGTGTAATTCAAAGTTGTTGATTTAAAATTTTAAACGAATGACCCATCACGGACCTAAAGTTTAACAACAGACTGTATTGTCAAGTCACTGCTTAGTTTATTTTATTCACCATTGAGTTGTGTTGTAGAAATAATAAGTCTTATTATAAGTCTTGCTACAAATTATTCTGGATGAGTAGTACTTAAAATTCAAAATTAAGTTTAACTAAAATTGACATTTTTGGAGGAAGTATAGTTTGAGGCAAATGAAAAATACCTGCATAATTTTATGCTTTGAAAACTGAATAGTTTTTAATGACACTGACTCAGCAATGCTTTTATTATTAAAATCCAGTATTAAGATTTCATAATCTTATCCTTTCTAAGTGATACACTATAAATGCCAAAATTAAAGAAGCCATATTTACTTGTAATCTAATATCCTTAGAAAAGATTGGTATTTGAGATTATTGAGTACTAAAATATCAAATGTACTATTAAATCCCACTTTTTTACAGTGTTCTTTGTATATCAACAGTCACAATTTTTTGAGGTCTTTATAAACTGAACAAGAAAGTCATCTCTTAAAAAATTATATCTTTAAAAGTTTGTGACAGTATAAAAATTATGTTTATGATAATTTATTCAGAGGGATATACGTTAATACTTTTAAAATGTTTAACACTGATAATTTCAAAGACATTGCAGAGGTGCTAAATCTTCACTTCTAATGTTTTCAGTTGAATTATTCTTGAAATCCATTCAAAATGAAGTTGGTGCCTTAAACATTTTCAGCAAGCCTGATTTTCTAGATTAGTAAGGAATAACATTTGGTGGAAGTATTCAGAAGGTTTTGATGGGCAGGAGTGAATATATTCTATTTACAACATGTCTTCATAAAGCTGGTCATTGTTTGAGGGGTAGATGGATGAGGATGAGGGTGACTCCTTTCATTGGGAGAGAGAAAATTTCAACAGAAAAAAAAAAAAAAAAAGAAAGACAAACTGCATTGCCATTCCCTTTCTTCTAGAATCATAACCCATGCCAGTGAAGTCTTAAAAGCTTTAGTTTCCAATTCTTGATTTTTTTTTCCAAAGCAGCTATTCCCTATATTGCTCCTGCCATGGAAATATCTCAATATAAAATGTTTTTATTTTGTAAATTCCAAGCATGCTAATTTCCTGTTAAATGTGTCAAATTTTTCTTATTACCTATTATGGAGAACAAGAATAAAGTAAATGCAGTGACCTTTTCTTTTTCTTTTTTAAGTTAGTGCTGCATATATTTTGTCTTAGAGTGACATGCTCACATTAAAATGTTCAGGTGTCCCATAATGTTGTTTCAAGTGCATTTATTAGTGTGTGTATTTAAAACAGCTCACTATTAGTCTCATGTGTGTTTTTCCAGGAAGAATTTTAATCCACAGAATGCCTGTGGGCTAACAACTAGTAGGTCCCATTTGTCTTTACTTTCCAGCATTTTGGGTACTGTTTAGAAGGTGCACTTTTTTTTTATTTATGGAAAAAAAAGAATTTCATAGTAATTTTAAGATATCCTGGTAAAGTCTGGTGTGAGATTTTGAACTTAAGGATTTATTATAATTCAAATTATGAATGCATATTCATAATTCATTCAGTATGAATGCATATTGTATGAGTCACAGGTCTAAAGATTTGAAGCTACAAATCTGTAAGTTTGTAGACAAGAGTATATGTTTCATTGCATGTGAATGCAGAATAGTCATGTAAGCTGATATAATAACTGGCTTGTGAGAAGACATTTTATTGCAGGTTATAGTCAAGTGTCTCAAAGTAAAGTCAGCCTATAAATGATTAAACAGTAGACTAACGATTAAGGTATTTTACTAATCATACCATAGTTCAACATTGTTAAAATGAAATATTTTATCCATATTAAAGCTATCAAACTGATTTTGAAAAATAGGAACACAGTTTTTGTGATAGGTGAGGCAAATTGATAAAAATGTACTAAAACATCTTTCATAGAACTAATTTACATGTAAATTATTTCCTATGTTAATAGGAGAATCTAAAAATCAAGTGCAGATCATTGCTACTTGTCCGAAACAACTGCTAATCTTGGCTTATAAGAATTATTTGTTAAGTTTCAGGGTAACTTCTCAACAGGTGTTTTCAACGAAGCCCTCACTGAGAAGAAGGGAGGAGACTGGGGACTTCTCACTGGTGGGAGAATTTACAGTTTTGTTTGAACATCTGTGTTTCCAGGTTTTTTTTTTTTTTTTTTTTTTTTTTTTGTAGCACTGCTACAAGTCATTTTAATGTTCTTATGGAAGAAAATATATTGAGCCAGCAGAATAAAATCTACAAAAATAGGTTTCTTTTGAATAATGCATTCATAATAGTGTTTTACAGTTCAATTTCAAAAGATTTACTTTAGGGTTGACTTTAGACTATTCTAGGAAAGGAAATTCTTTTGATATCTAAGCATAGTCTTTTCAATTAAAAAAAAAGGTAAACATATGGTAATACTGTCATTTAAGCATATAGAAATTATATTGAGGCATATAGGGCTATAGTACTTTAGCACAGACAATAAATCCAGTATTTTATAATAAAAAGGTGAAAGAAAGAGTATATCTTTACTACCAACATTATTTGTTGTCTGGCTTTATTCTCATTTCTCTAATGCAAAAGCTTCTTGACTACAGATGAGTTTCTACAGTCATGATCTTGAAAACTTTTCTGGTACACTAGTGATTTCAGTAACAAACATAAAGCATGTGAAACATTTCTTTCTTTCTTTATAAGTTGAAGATATTTTACTGAAATCATTTTATTATGAGGCACTGCTGCCTGTATTAGTTTCCATAAACTTTTTTTCCATCACTGTTTTAGGGGCTTATGGTAGACTGGGTAGGAAGGGAATGTGCCTTTTATAATACTCCTTCAGGAGTGTTTGTCTACTTGTCTATTTTTAAGATATTTTAACACATAGAATAATTAATTCCTAATTAAAATTAATATGAGTACATATTCGCTTTCTCTAGGTTACTGTCTATGAATAGTAGTACAGATAAAATACACAGCCTTAATTTAAAAGTAATCAGCCACTTAGGTGTTTAAATTTCTTTGAAGAAGAGTTTAAAATTCAAATTATTATCATACTTTGTATACTTTATCTTATTCTTTGTTTTTTGTGTAGCCATAAAAACCTCAGCTCCAATGTAAATACGTGCATTTTCCTATTTAAATTTTTTTAACCTTGTCAACTAGGAACCAGAGAATCTTATCTTTATTAGTGGTAAAAATAACTACTCAAAAGGCAATAACTTCTTTATCCATTAGCTTTTAATTTTTTATAAAATTTCTAAAACATTAGCTGGAAACATTTTACTATACTCATATAAATAAATTCATCAGATTTTTTAAATGTAGGAGTGGGATAGTTTTCAACTTTATTTCTGTGAGTGCTTTAAATTTACTTGAGTTCTATGAGTGAACTCTAATTTACTGAAGTTCTAATGTTTCAATAAATATCATGTAAGTCTGCTTGGAGTAGGATATTGAAATTTTTTCTTAGCTTCTTCATGCTATTTATGGCTATGCGTGATTGTGAAAAAAATCAGATCATAAAAAGTATGTTCTAAAAAACTGTCAGAACTGCTGGAATGTATTTTCAAGAAAAAAAATTTACCTTTTCTAAAGCATTGTCTAGTAATTGTGACTATATTGCTTAGTCACACTCTCAAAATAAAAATGAAAACATTTTCTAGAAATTTTTCTCTGTAAAGTTGATAGTGTAATATGTTTTTCATTTTTTATAGTGCATAGTTACAGGTTTTTATATGAAGTTAAAGTAAATTAATTATTCCTAAAATAATCACAACTATCATTGCTATTAAAAGTTCAGAAATATACATATTTTAAGAGGAGAAGATGAAAAATCTCCAGATAAATATTTAATACTATTTAAAAACATATTTATACTTTATAATGTCTCACTATTATTGTCAGATTTTAAATTTTTCACTGTTAGTGCTGCTTATGTAATAAAATGCAATAGAAATTTATCTATATAGATAATAGGTGTAAACAAAAATAATTTGTTTTTTTAAG